TCATCACATAGGTCTTCTAACAACTTCCTTAATTTCCGCTCTCTTTCAAGCTCTTCCACAGAATTAGTAAGAGAGGATTTGACCTCAGAAAGCTCCCTCGCTAACTTCCTGTGTAGGCTTTCTGATCGTTTTCTTAACTTCTTCTCATCTTCTAGCTCATCCCTGACCGACTGAACTGCAGCATGGATTCGATCCTGTTCTTTGTTCTTCCTAACTAGTTTATCTTCTGAAATTTGTTTCACCAAATCATCTAGCTCATGTCGATCAGCTTGCCGAACCCGAAGCAACTCTTTGATCTTAACACGAGCATGATCCAACTCTGTTTTCAACGCTTTTATCAATGCTATATTAGATGTATGCTGTTCCTCCAAGCTCCAAATCCGGTTCAAAACTTTTAGCAGTTCTGTAGATGTTTTAAGATTATAGTGTGATTCGCCAATCCTTCCCTTAAAGTCCAAAGAACCGCTAGGGGTGACTGCAAGGTTATACGGAGCCACCTGAAAAGCAAGTGGATGAAATTCTTGATCATATCATGGAAATATATGTTGTACATGGCACACGGAAAGACAAAATTTTCATAACCGTAGATATCAAGACAGGGCTCCCATCATGTTAAACACTTTATAGACCGAACGATACAAGATATCCTAGATAGTGTAATGCAAGTTTTGGAAAATTTGAAACCATATTTACCATTTTTTATCTTTGTAATCGGGAATGACTACAACACAACCCACATCGGTCATAATTACAGATTGTGGCTACATAATGTTTCTTTTCATTACTGATTCAATATATCAAGGATGCAGTTTCTTGAAATTTCGGGAATATTAAGTCCATTGTTTTCCAGATACTATGACTGTAAATCTCAGTCCATAACTTATCAGTCTGTGGGCATCAAATCATATTTACCCTAGTGAGTAATCAGCGAACCGCAATTCTGCCTTGTTTCTACTCAAATAAAGAGTATACATCAGCAGAAAAACTAACGGGGAAAAGAAAAAATATGATTAAGCGTAACAGATGCTTACCTCCAGGGAACTACCGTAGCTTGCAGGCGATGCAGGCTGCAAAATGTGATTGTTCAATCTGTTCCTTTCAATCGTTCGGTGATGTTGCATCAACGATGCTGCAATATGCCTCCTTAAACTGCTTGCACTTTCCGGCTGGCATAAGTAATGAGATAAAAATCAGTGGAGATTCGAACCGGGCAACTTCAAAATCCATTGATCAAACATTAAGGTATAGCAGCCTCTATGACATGCACAGAAATCAATGAATATGCATGGTCATTGATAGGGCTCTAATTTGAATGCAGTATCTACAAATTTAAAGACATGAAGTAGTTCAGATATATAGATTAAAATATCGCCGGAATCAAAACAGTGCAACCTAAATGGAATTCATCTGATTCTTATGAATACTAAAAGAACCATGGCATCTATAATGCTAGTGACTTGACATCTATTAATGAAAATTGCAAGGTGAAGTACTAAGTTCAGAACAAATAAACAAAAGCTTGAAATTTACATCTGAAATAATAGAAAAGGAGAAATAATAATAACAATAAATGTAATAATCAGAGATCATCACTCAAAAGTAACCATCATCAAAAGCTCCATAAATTTCCAAAAAATAAAATTGCAATAAATTAAGGCAAACAGAAAAAGACATGAAGTAGCCATCAAGAAGGCACAATTAAACAATATATATTAGAAATAAATCCACTTTCATTAAATCGGATATAAAGGAACAAAATTGCAAAAACCCAATAAGCCAATTGATGAATACAAAAATCTCCACACACACAAAACAAAGAAATTCAGCAGCAGACCTGGTCAGGAGAACTAGGACAATTATCAGCCAAAAAGTGAGAAAGATCAAGAGCCTTCTTGTCTCTGCTGGGGTGGTGGTGATGGAGCTGAAGGTGTCTCAGCCTAGGAGGTGGAGCACCACCACCACCACTGCCATCGCCGCCACCACCATTAGTGTGAGAAGCCCTGTGCATCTTTGGAAGGAATTGGAAGTGTTGAAACTCCCAAAGAGCAGCAGCTAGCTTTCTAGCAGAGACAGAGGAGGAGGAGGAGCTGGTATCAATGGTAAAGGGGGAGTCTTTAATGATGGGATCAAGGTCAAAAGGGCAACAAGGTCTCCAATTCCATGAGGACACTACTGGAGTGGTTGGGCCACCACCTGTGCTTTTTCTAATCAATACTCCTCCCCTCCTTACTGTCAACTTTTCTGCCAAATTTTCCTCCTTTTCTGCTCCCCCTTCCCTACTTTCTCCTTCCCTTTTCATCTCTTACCTTTTTAGGCTTCCTTTCCCCAATTCTTCTTTCTCTCTCATCTTTTTTTTTTTTTTTTTTTTTTTTTTTTTTTGAAATACTTCCTTTTGGGTTGGGAACTACAGTTGAGAATGTTGTGCAGTACACAGTGTGCACTTTCTTTTTTGATTATATGTTTTTTATTTTTCAAAATAATTGCCCAGTAGCCACTTGCTATTTGTTCACTTGTATAAATTTAAAGTCTAGTGGTATTCATTTTCATTAGTAAATGCGAGATTTTAAGTTTGATTTTCGTCAAAAGTTAATTTGAATCATATTATTGCTAACACATTGTGAAGCTTAGTATACTCTCATATTCCCTTAGTGTAGATAACATAATGTGTTCGGAAACAAAAAAAAAACTTGCTCTGTATAAGTATGGACTTATTTCCATACTATTCGTGTCAGTTGGCGTGATATAAATATCAACTAGTATAAGTTTCACATTGTTGTATAGAGTCAAGCTTTTTTAGTCACTTGATAACTACAAATGTATGGTCATTCATTATTAGATTTGCTATCAAGATGTTGAGATTAAACCGTCAAAAGTACATTTATTTAATCTACACCTTTGATATCATATTAATCAGTGAGTGATTATACATTTCTTGAGCACTAGACATCACTATTATAATGTAAGTGGTCCACTACTACTTGCATCAATGTCTTTAATTTATTATCGCACACTTCCTACAACTTATATGTCCTCAAACCAAGGAGGAAAGACAGAGGAAAGCTAATAAGAGGCTTTAAGGTGGAAAACAACTTAGAACGAGTTCACCATATTGCGACATCTCGATTCATACATTATCATGTGGAGATAAATTTTTACATATTGATACATTATTCAATTAAAACACTATATGTTAATGAACATGTTCTACGTAAGTTCTTCTTTTTAGAACAGCATGACCACATCACTCTTTAAAAGTGCGAATCCTCTAATTACACCAAGCCCTTAGAGATAAAACCTCACTCATGAAGTCCATTGTACCTCCTCCAACAAGTGTAGTAGATATGTGTTGATGAAAATCTTAGTTTATGGTTTGGACTTAGTATTTTTGTCCACCACTTCTAAACGCGAAGGCTGAGAAAGAGAGTTTTCCCTGTACTAGGGAGCGTAACTTTGGTAGATCTAGAAGATACGCAACAGCTTTAATTCTTTAATAATTTCAAAAATACACTGTCATCTATACTGAATTCCCGATCTTTATGCCAACAAAGGCTCTCCGACGGTCAAGTTAGTAAGAAAGTACAAGACTTAAGCAGTGGGCAAGAGAATTAGAGTGTGATGATTGTGATACCAGACACGAATCCTAACAGGGTATATTTATACTAGTCGGGAGAAAGACCCTTTTAGAATAGAATCCTGTATTAAACCTGGAGAATCCAAAGGATATCTAGGAGCATATACTGCATGCTCTTGGGAATGTGATTACTTGCCACGCACACCAATTCCTAGATTTTAAGCACTCCAAGAATATAGGAAACCCAGTTGATTATGTGTTGGATCAGGTTCACGTGTCTTGTAGAACAAACATGGTCAATCTCACTGAAGTCATTTGGACTTCGCGCACTGCTCCAGAACAGGATGATGGTGGCACCACTGCCCGGAGAGGTTGAGTCCATGACCGAACTTCAAAGGTAATTGTATTTCAATCTACCTTATTCTAGCCCTGAAAAATCATGGTCCCACATAATGGATTAGTAATCTTTCAAAGGAATTAATGAAGAGCGGGAGGTGTGAAAGCAACAAATTAGTGTATAAGTTTCTTACATTGGATTTTGGTGTTACCGATTGCATCCGCTTCCGTGGAGAGAACGTTTTTTTGTTATGAATATTGTGAAACGCCAATGCGTGACAAAATAGGAGATCAATGATTGAGTGATAGCATAGTTGTTTGCATTGAAAGAGATGTTTTTGGTTTTGTTGATAATGAGTCTAACATGTGGCGTTTTCATGACGTGAAATATCCCGGTCAACAATAATAACTTGTTTGTAATGATAAATTATCAATGATATTAATATTGTCTATTATCTACAAAGATTTGGTTGTTTACATTTTTGAGACCTTTTACTCTTTCAAATTTCACTCTTTCCCCAACAATTCCTGACTTTACCATTGGTTACAACTCTTCCCATGCACAACTTTGTTTGCAGAAATGTTTCGTAAAAACTATTTTGTTACTATATTCTTGACACTTAAAAGGAAAGGAAAATAAGAACCCAAAGCCTTATTGTATAGTATTTAATTATTTATACACGAGTTACAGCTTCAATTTATCACAAAATACAATGTTTTATACTTGATTTTCTTTCTCTCTCAAATCTTCCGACTACAAATCGGACCCTCATAGAGCATGAGGGTTTACTGCCTGCAACGTCTAGGGATCCGTGTCTTGGGATGGCCATATCTTTCATTTTCCTGGCCAGTGGCTACCTCCTTCTGTAAAAGTTGAATTCATTAGTGCTGCTACTTCTATGAATAATTCACAATTGAATATTCTTTGCATTTTTCTTTGTAAAATTGGCTACAATGGTTAAAAATAAAGTCTTACTTGTTAAATTTATCAAAATAAAATATTACAGACATATTTAAGTTTTGGGCTTTCCTGTTACAGGAGGTGAATTATCTTTGGTTTGCAGTCATTTTAACTGTGTTGCCCATCATCTAGCTAAGAATATTTTATTTAGTGATTTTCGTTAGGTAATTTGAAGGAAAAATCTTACTCGTTTATGACGTTCTTCTCCAAGATTTCGACCATAATTAATTGTAGTTTAATGAAATAAGACATATAAATCAAATATGAAAAACAAAATTAAATACCAAAAGTATATTAGTAAAACAGAAAAGACATACTAATCAAAATTCATTATTTCAGTAACTAAAATTTGTAAAATGGTCATATATTTTCTTTCTTTTGTTCATTTTATTTTAGGTCTGAAACTGAAAGTCACACACTTCAACATGAGAAGTAGAAAATTCTGCAGGAACAGTAAAATTAAGTCGAATCAGTTTCCAGCGGTGCGGAGTGCAGATTGGGGCTGATAAAATATATGTGCGTGCGTTTTTATAACTTTCCGTCTACACATAAGAAATTTTTTTATTGTGACGGAAATATGAGTGATATATTACTTATTTTTATATAAATAATGAAAAAAATTAAAATTTTTAAGTTATTAACTTTTTAGCACACACATTCTACCATTGGTATAATGACACGTGATTTACCACTTCGTGTTCAAGTCCCACTGAAAAAATCTGTCCACACAAACAGGGTAGTCTTTGAGATTTTGGGGGCCTGTGTGAAATTTGTATAAGGGCCACTCCTTAAAATAGTATTAAAAAAAGTAAAACAATGTATTGATGTTAGAAAACAATCACTTAAATCAAAATAAACTTTAGCACTCACCGATTGCAATTTTACAAATGTCATTAATCGTAAGTAAAAAAGCTACAAACATAACATTCACTAGATAATCAAAAGCAACTCAATCTTAAACAACCAAACATTAAAAAAAAAAAATCAAAACTCTAACTTTAAAGTTCACTTGAATATATAACCTTATTATATAATAAAATTGGAAAAATATCATTTTTTAGGATGTTATTATTGACAATCAGAATATCTCATTGCACTATAATTTTTTATATTGAGTGAGATGTTAAGAATATTAAATTTGTAGACAAAATTTTGTAAATTAAATGACATGTAAGTTGATAATTGAATTATTACTTAAGCATTGATAAACTTGATTATTTCCTATTGGTGACTCATCATTTAGTTAACAAATTTAGTCTTACTATCATTACCCTTTTATATTTAGAAACGAAAAAAATTTACTCTTATAAAGAATGCACAATGAGATTTTAAAGTACTAATAAAAATAATTTTCTAAATATATAAATCATTGCATAACATTAGATGATAAAAATTTTGAGGACTTTCAAATTTGGGCCTGTGCAATTGCACCTTTTGCTCTCCCAAAACGCTCCCTCTGTACACAGACACCTATTTTACTGTATACTGACTGACCCAGGTCTATATCTTAAATTCTGCACTCAAAGTAACTGGACCAAGAACAAAAACAAACTGAGGCCTCTGCTTTCAGAGGGGACAGTGTGTTACTTCTGGTTGACAAGTAAATGGGTCCTCTTGGTGGTCGACAGAGTTGTTTTTTTACTTCAAATTTTATAATTTATTAGATGCTGCAATATTGGTTGGGTTAATGATAGGGGTGGACCATAAAAAGGGAACCGCGGAAATTGAAAAAAACCGTGTTGACCAGAGCTGGTCACAATTTGAATAAAATCCGGACCGAACCGTCTTGAGCCGGTTCCGGTTCAATTTTGGCTTTTAATAAATAAAAAAGGGAAAAGACCCTTACAGAAAGAGCCTTAGAGATTCCACAGTCATGAGGTAAGAAATGGTCATATGTGTCCCCTCCAGTCAACAGTCACGAACTAGAAATAAGAAAGGCTGACAGATTAAAAATGAAGGCTGCTTCTCTTCTTCCTTTCAATCCTTTTTTTTCAGATTAGAAAATATATATGTGTGTGTGTATATATATATAACTGCACTCAACTGAATAATTGATATTTTTCCGGTTTCAATTCAAATTTTAGAGTTGAACATGGCCAAACTGGACCATGCCCACTCATAATTAATTATATTTAATTTAAACTCGTCATTCACAATAGTTAAATTTGATGTTTTTCACTTTAAGTATATAAGAATGCTAATTTGCAATTTTTTTCAAATACAAAAATAATATTTCATCAATTCATTTTACCTTTGTATGGGGTTGTTTAGGCTTTTTGGCCCAGATTATTTTGTTTATAATGTTGAGAAAAATTCACTTACTTTGAAAGATTCTCTATCCTCACATGCTACTATTTTTGGAAAGAAACTGTTAATAATGAAATATAAATACGAATTTCCAATAGTCCTTGGAAACTAATAGATTTACCACCAGGTTGTAAAACTAGAGTGTAAATGGG